GCTTATTTTTCTCGGGTAGAAAGGAGTCCCCAGGTAGAGAGGACAAAGCTGGCTAGAGTGACTCCGTGACACCCCTGGGCCACTTCCGTCCTTTGCTCAGCCATCCAAAGCACGCCTGCCTGTTGGTAGTTGCACACTCATTGCTTTATCTNCGGCCCGCTTCCGTCCTTTGCTCAGCCATCCAAAGCACGCCTGCCTGTTGGTAGTTGCACACTCATTGCTTTATCTACAGCATCCTGACCTCATTCTCAGGAGAGAGGAACGGCAAAGATCAAGTTGTTTGTATGACCCAAATGTGTAAACTTAAAAAAAAGCCTGTGGTTTCTATCCAGTGACTTTTGCTTTTATCTCAGCAGTCAGGGTTATGTCACGTAGCCATTCTTCGCTGCAAAAGGAGCTGGGGAAAGAGTTTTAAAGGAGTGGCTGTTGCTGCTCCCAAAAACCTGGGTTCCAGAATGAGTAGAACATATATTACAATAGCACTTAGCAGGCTCTGCACTACTGCTTTTTGCCACCAAGTCTTTCTTACTGTGACAATATTATATTAGCAATTTAGGAGACAAAGAAGGGTAGTCATTACAACTAAGAGACCCAATTTCCAGTTTCCAATACTATACGAGCCATGTTAGAAAATTTAATGTGACCAGATGAACTCAACAGGAGAAATGTGTGTGTGTTTTATATATAAGTATACAGTTATATATAGTTATAAAGGTACAACTGCTATATAATTTGAAATATTTTAGGAGGTATTTTAGGTAAACCAAATAATAGTTAATTCAATGAATGTAAAACAAACTTCATTTGTTCCTGCTTTGACATCCAAATAACAATGTGAGGCAAACTATGAAGTCTTTACAAAAGTAAATAAATGCTTTACCAAGCCAAATTTATTTTCTTTCATATTTTATCAGGATTCTCAATAACTTACAGAAGTTTTAGAATCAGAACTTGAGAATATTAGGGAAAATATTAACCAATTTAGTTCTGACATTTTCTTACAATCCCATGAAAAATTGGTAAAATTTTTTATTTCCCTTTCTACCATATCCATCCATTCATAATATTCAGCATTTTCTGTGTGCCAGGCACTCACAAAAAACCAATGAAGTAGGTACTATTATCTCTATTTGTAAAATCTTTGCTTGTCAGAAATGGGAAGGATTGAGTAGCACTAAACCTTCAATTTTAACATTATCTCTAAATGAAAGGTCTTTTATGGATGCTACCCAACAGTTTAGTATTGAACAGAAAAAGTACTATAGGATTGTATTATGGGTTGGATAAGGTAGCACAGTATTGGGGTTAAGCACTGACTGGAAATGAATCACAGCTCTACTTATTGGCTGTATAGTCCTGGGGAAATACCTAATAGATCTGTGCTTTAATTTCCCTATCTGAAAATGAGGATAATAGTGCCTACACATGAACTTGCTAGAATAAAACTGAATTGGTGTTACTAATATATTTAGAACAGTCTTGGTACATAGCAAGCACTCTATTATCTATTTTCTGAAAAACAAATTAATCAAAAATTTAGTAGCTTAAAACAGAAATCTGGAAGCCACTTAGCTGGGTGATTCTGCTTTAAGATCTCTCATGAGATCGTTCAAATGTCAACTGTGGCTGAGTCACCTGAATGAAGCCTTGACTAGGGAGGGTCCGGGCTCTCTCACATAGCTGGAAGTTGGTGCTGTTAGCTGGGGAGCCTGTTCACCTACACATGCCTCTCATCTTCTAGGGCCTCTTACCCACCTGCATTTGCCAGCAGAATAGTCTGCTCTTTACAGCAAGACTGCATGCATCCAAGACAGAAACCAGTCTTACTACAATCCAGCTGCAGATCCCAAGCACTTCTGCCCTATTCTGTTCATTAGCTGCGAGGCATCAAATCTTGCTGGGAGGTTGGGATCATTGGAAGCCACATTAGAGGCTGCCTGTCCTAATGGGGAACTGTACTTGTTAAGTGAAATATGAAAGTGTCCCTATATTTCCTCATATATTTGAGTCCCTCAGTAATGGTAGTTAAAATAACAGTGAAGGAATCACAGGAATTAGCATTAGAGTCAAGTCTACTATCTGTAAGGGCTCATTTGAAGACTACAGTAACCCAATAAATTTCTCCAAAAAATATTGTTTTTTCCTCCAAAAAATAAAACTTCATTAGAAATTATAAAGTATTAACCATCAACCAAAGGATTACAGTAGCCGACTATGCAGGATTATTAACTACCTAGAATAGTTTAGGCATAGGCTCCATTAGTCAGCAGCCATGAATTGGTATTCAGAATTCTGCAGTGTTTATATAACACAAGAACTGTCTCTTCTAAATCAGGGAAAGAAGCAGAAAAAGGAAGCAATTCGACCGCAGGATGCAGGGAGCTAGACAACANCTGGTATTCAGAATTCTGCAGTTTATATAACACAAGAACTGTCTCTTCTAAATCAGGGAAAGCAGCAGAAAAAGGAAGCAATTCGACCGCAGGATGCAGGGAGCTAGACAACAGCTGCTTAGGTCACATGCCATGGGCAACAGGTCAGCTCTATCCCCACTTCATTTCTTATTTATATATCTCAAAAAAGACACTAGTCTCGAATGAAAAAATAAAGTGCACAGTTTAAAACAAACTGCAAAGTCATATTTATTTACATTTAAATATGAATGACCTGAATTACACACAAATTTAAGAGGCACAATCCATTATGTACAATACATGTTATACACAGTAGTATCTGTAGACACATCAGTGGTTTGAGTGAAAACACAGTACCAAAACATTCCTGATACAAAATAAATAACTTATTCACATAATCTAATCATACAAGACAGTTAATATTTTAAGTTATGTACTTCAAAAAACACTACCCAGATGTACAACCAACATGTAGTAAGTTTGTTTTATGAAAAATGCCTTCAGATTGTTATGTATAAATGATCACTTTCAGGATTCATTTTTATTTTTTAAATAAACTACATTGATGTCATCTATTTATATATAGCCTGCTAAAATATGATTGAACACAGACATTACTTCATCTTTTAAAGGTGTAACTATACTAGAGAATATGCTGAACTATTGCCCCTAATTCCAACACTGCCATCACAATTTTCAGACACAATCGAGTTATTTAAATTCAAATTTTAGAGTATGAGATCCACTGCCCTATTTTGCAAATTGTTTCCTCTAAAAAATGTTAAGATTGTCCTAAACTATCTCATATATTATAGAAATTCAAGTTTTTTTTAAAAAAATCTTGAAATGCTTTAGGTTAAAGCTGATACTTTATGTGGAGATTTTGATAAATTGAACACTTTTAAAGAGCTTCATAATAAGATTGTTTTCAATTCTAAAATCTATTAAAAGTTTATGTCAAGTCCAAGAGAACACTTGAATACTTTCATAATGCAGTGAAGGCTTCATCTTTGGCATTTCCCCATTAGTTCTAAAATAAAATATGTCAGCGACCATTTTATATCTTTCTATCTACCTACTTCAGACATTTTCTGTACACAAAAGTATTTGAAATTGTATTTTAATAGCAATTTCATTGCTAAGAAAGTTTTTTAGATCTGCAAAAATATTAACATTCAGCTTTTTACCAAGAAGCTGAAACGTTCTGATGTTGCTGAAACAAGTTTGCTTAGCTCTTTTTCAATAACTGAAAGTTCAACAGCCTTTCAAATTCAACAATGGATAAAGCAGACAAAATTTAACAAGAACATTGACCATAGTATAATTTTTGAATAATGATATGGAGCATGCCTCTATTAAGGGAAAAAAAAATCTTGAGATAGTATGGACAACACAGAAACAAAACTGCTATATTTTCTTTCTTGGTCCCTATAGCTTTTCTAAAAGTAAACAGAGCAAAACAGAACTGCTACAAATGCTGACTGGTGGAATTTTTTTCACATTGTCTTCCATATTAGATTTCCATGTTACTTCCAATATCCATGGTTTGCTCTCTTCACACACTAGCCTTAAGGCTAAAAACAGTCCAAGTGTGACTATTTTAAAAAGATAGTGGAAATAACAGCAAGGTTTCTATAAATGAGCATATTTCTCCTCATTTAAAACTAAATATGTATACATGGAATCTAAAGAACTTAATAAACTGATGAACAGAATAGATTCAATGACATGGAAGCACAGATGAGACTGATGAATGTCAGAGGGATGGAGGAGGTCGGGTGGGTGGAGGGGGAGAGAGTAACTAAAGAATTTATGTGCATATACACACAACCCAAGGACACGGACAATGGTGGGGACAGGGACTGGGGAGGGGGAAGGAATGGGTCATTGGGGAGAAAAAGGGATATCTGTAATATTTTGAACAATAATAAAATTAAAACAAAACACAAAAAAACTAAATATGGGTGAAAATCTCAGTAAAACGGAATCAAATGCAAGCTACATTTTCCAGGGTTAACTGAAAATAAACAAAAACAAAAACATAAAAGAAATACTGTAGCTAATTACTGCTATTTATCAATGTCTGCAAAAGTCTTGAATAACAAAAAAACGATAGTAAGAATGGCTTTATTGTGAATTAACGTATTTTAATAAGGCAATAAAAAATTCCCCATTGTATGCTAACCAGGCAGAGTCCAGAATCATGGAGATCCAAGCAGAGAATGATCCACAGCAGATCAAGGAATTAGAATATATAAATTGGGTATTTCTACTATCTGGTACATTTGAATAAATCTACAGCTACTTTAGAAAAAGAAATTGATCCAATGAATGTATCTTAAAAATCTGGAGAATGCAGATTACATGAATAGACACACAATGGATACTGAGTTTGTGAAAGTAATTGTTATATAATATGGCAATTGTTGAAAATTACATATGCAGCTTATATTAATACTGCTGTCTCCCAGCCAATGCTACTAACTGACATCAACACTGTCCTTCAAGTATAGTTCAAATTATCAGTTACATGTGATAACCAAGTAAATAAATTACCAGCTCCTGCTAACACAATTTAGTAAGAACTGGGAATCCTATAATTGGCACTAGGCAATGGCTACAGAATGCAATTTTAAGTACGTATGGTTACCTATTTCCAGAATCCAGAAAATATAGCCATCCATGTTCCTATTCTATCATTTTAGAAGTATTTGTAGGAATGAGATCTCTCCAAAATCAAATAGGATCAATCCAGTCACAATCTTAAAACAAATGTTATGTAAATTTTGTTTATCTGAATGTTGTCTTTTAGGTAAATTTTTAAGATAGTTTAGATATTTTTATTTTTGGAGGAGGTGGTCTGATAAGATCACAAATAATCATTCCTCCATAATTCAGTTGAAGTTGGTCTTTTGTAAATGCTTATTGGGAATTTCTAAAGCACTGACTTGAAGAGGCCAAGAGCCTCCATCAATCCCTGCTTGGATGGCCACTCCTGTCACCACTGCCAAGTCAGGGTCTACAGACGTGTTGGGATCCTTTCCAAAGAACTCCTGAATGACTTGGCGGATTCGAGGAATACGAGTAGAGCCCCCAACCAAAACCACCTCATCGACTTCCGTCTTTTCCAGGTGGCCTTCCTTCAATACTTGCTGAATGGGCACCAGTATTTTCTGGAAGAGATCTTCATTTAGGGTGTCAAAGAGCTTCCGTGATATTTCTGTTTCAAATAAAACCTGACTTTCTCCACTTTTCTTTTCAGAAAAGCCAGCTCCGAACATGCTGTTCACATGGTGGTCATCTGCTGGGGACAGTTTATCCTTTGGCAGTTCAGTGTCACTACCCTGAGCTTCCTTCCTGTCCTTTTCCTCCACCGTTAGTAACACTGACATCTGGGCAGACTGATGAAGAGTCAGATTTAATTTGACCATTTCCACGGCTTGTCTTAATCTGTGAATTTCCTCTTTCTTAGAGGGTAGGAAGCCATATGTTTGATAGATCTGTTTATATAAGTACTGAAGCAATCTCTGATTGAAGTCCTGTCCTCCAAGTTTATTGTTTCCTAAGTTAAAAATAAAAGTTTATATTATAGTTATTTATTTATGTGTGTATACACGTTTCTGTGTAGCAGGTATGTATAAAAATAATATTATTGGAATAACAAAGTCCATATTTAAGGTATTAAGATTTTATTCATACAAAGAATCATTAAAAATAACTGGGTTGAAATGATTTTAACTCAGATGTGTACAATTAAAAACAGTGCAGTCCTGGCTGGTGTGGAGTATTGTTCTGTACACCAGAAGGTGTGGGTTCGATTCCCTGTCCTGGTCAGGGCATGTACCCAGGTTGTAGGTTCGATCCCTGGTTGGGCTGTGTGTGGGAGGCAGCCAATCAATGTTTCTCTCTCACATAGATGTTTCTCTCTCTCTCCCTCTTTCCCTTCCTCTCTAAGATCAATTAAAAAACAACAAACAAAACGAAACAACCCCCCCCCCAAAAAAAAAACAGTGCATATCTGGGTTAAATTTTTTAAATGATGTAAAAGGAAGTATCTCTTAACGATATCCAATATTTTTTCAGAAAATAGAGACTGGGAACACAGATTGGCTTTTAAGTAGCAATTTAGAAACACTAAATGTCATTATTCAACAGAAGAAAGTTCTTCTTATAGTTAACATGTACCAGCAGGCATTTTACCTTTAAAAAAAAAAAAACCCTTTGCTTGCATGATTAAGAGCTAAAAAGAAGAAAAAAATGATTTAAAAGAAGAGTAATGGAATATAAATCCCCAGCACTGAACTTGGTTCTAAAAAGAATACAATTAGGAGGAAGACAAATACAGATGTTAGACCACCTGTAACTTACAGCTCCACTTTTCAAACAGGCTTATTAATTCCTTAAACTAAATTATAACAAAAATCTTTTTAAAAGATTTGGAATGCAAAATCCTATCACTTCCTAAAGAATATTAAAGATATCTATTTTGAGAAACATATTACCAAATAAAATAAACTGATCACCCTTCATTTTAAAAGAATTTCTTTCCTTCTGTTCCCTTCACCATGGCCATGAAAAGTATTGGCTCAGTGAGCTTACCACTGTCAGTGTATTTACTTGACTTATAGGATGCCTAGTCATTTTTTGAGACTTAACTTTTTTCTGTAAATACATATAAATACAGAAGATTACCAAAATGAAGTCAAAGAATACTGAAAAAAATTTTAAATAAACAATTCACATATTAGATATGTTAATGTGCCTGAACCTCTTTAACTCTCCTTATATTTTTCTTACCAGACATTGCCCGGGTTAGAAACATTCCTCCTTGTTTATTCAGCAACGATACATCTAGAGTTCCTCCGCCCAAATCTATCACCAAGACGTGAAAGACATCAGCCTTGTGGAGACCATAGGCCATGGCTGCTGCTGTGGGTTCATTTATTACCCTTAAGATCTTCAGTCCTATATGATGGGTTGGAGGAAAGAACAACTCATGAGAAGACACAAATTCTTTCCCACTCAACCTCCCGTCAGTGTCTTCTATGACATGAACTCCACTGAGTAATTATGAGAAAGAACAGTTACAAACCTAATAAAAATAATGCAATGTCATCGGTTCCTCTAAATGGGTGTCATTAAAACTATTCTAAAAGATTATAATGGAACGGAGTAAAGGCCCAGATTCAGTGGAAGACATCATTCTACTCTTAATACTTCATTTAAAAAAAAAATCTGAGCCTCTTCTTTCATATTTTACTTGGGAATTTATGAGCAATAAAACTAATCATTATATACTATAATACTGCTATGGAAATAAGATAAGCTTACTGTGCTCTTCTTTGAAAAATGACTTTTTGATAAAAAAAGATGAATAAACAGAAAATAATAAAAAGGAAACTCTAGGTGATATACTCAAATAGCTACAGTGATAATCTTGAGGGTTTCAAATATAAGACCCTCAACAGTGAATCTGAAATATACAGCAAGTCTGATCTGTTGTATATATGAAGGCAAAGGATCAGATTTCATTGAGCAAAATTCCTCCTTTAAACTAACTGCCACACCAGTGATATGGAAAGTAATATGGCTTTCTGTATCAGGAGTTATAAAACTAATCAAACTCTTAAGAATTTATTCAGAGATCATACTACCCGTTACCTTAGTTCTCTGACTTCATCACTCACCCTGCCCTGGCTACAGTGGCCAATGTCATATCTTCTTATGTAACAGCAAATACCCATTTTGTGGCTGTCCCACTGGCCATTCTCTCTCCTGCAACATACTTCCCCTGGGGTATCTACCTTGCTTCTTCTAAATCTGCTTAAATGCCACTTTCTCAATGAGGCCTACTCACTCTCTTTAAAACCTGCAAGACCCCTTATTCTCTGACTACCCAGCAATCCTTTCCCCTTATTCTGCAATTTTTATCCATAGGATGTTACTTTCTGATGTATGTTGTATCAAAGTTCTCAACCAGAAGCCAGTTTACCCCTCCAGGGACATTTGGTAATGTCTGGAGAAAAGAAAATTATCACCCCTTAGGTGGGGAGGGTTCTGCTATGCTAGCATCTGATAAATCAAGGGTAGGGATGCTGCAAAATATCCTACAGTACACTGGAGAGTCGCCCACAACAAAGAATTATTAAGCCCCAAACCTGAATAATGCTAGGAAAAAACCCATTATACTTTCTGCTGATTTTGTTTCCCTCTAGTAGAATATAAGTTCCATGAGGACAGAGATTTGTCTATTTATATTAGTTCAGATTTACATTTTTATAAGGGATTTTATCTGTTCAATATAAATTCCACGAGAACAGGTATATACTGAGACACTCAATATTTGCTGGATGGAGTTAAATGAATTCTCTCCCATTTCAGACTTCTTAAAAACATTATATTCACNAATGGAGTTAAATGAATTCTCTCCCATTTCAGACTTCTTAAAAACATTATATTCACCTTAACATAAAAGAAAGTTTAGAAGAAAACACTTGTTTCTAACATGTGTCCATGTTCTCTCTCAGCCTTTGTCATGTGCCTGGTTGTTGTAGTGATATACACATTTCACACTGTGCTATAAAGCTTTCTTAATTATCATTTGCAAACTTGTATCAAAATCCATCTAATTTACCTGCCATACAGTTTATGTACCTAGTTAGGTGGCTTGCAAAGTGATATATCTTACTATAGAAGATTTTCAGCCTCAGAAAATTGTGATAAAAATCTAACTCAGGCAAGGGTAATATTACCTGCAAGGTTAGCAGCTTCAATTGTTGAATTTCTCTGTTTTAGATCAAATTCTGCTGGTACAGAAATAACAGCATTGGCAACTGGCATTCCAAGATATTCCTCTGCCATTTCCTTTAATTTCAATAACAGTCTAGAGCCAACATATTCTGGGGAAACGGTGATGGTCTCATTACTTGTCACAGAAAACTCAACCATTCCATTTTTGTTTAAAACCTGTGAATTGCAAAAGAAAGAAGAGAGTAAAAGCATATGTACACATATGTACATATATACTTACACACACATATATACTGTATATATATACTGCACTTTAATCAAAACTTACCTTTACAAGGTCATAAAATTCATTTGTAATCTATTAAGTACATTTATTATGATTAGAGATTATTAAAAATTGTATTTTAAAATCTATAAAATGGATCCACACCATAGTTTTTGATAACAACAGAATAACAACATTCATTACCAAGCACATAGCTGGAACATAAAAGATTCTCAATATATATTTGTTAAATAAAAGAAAAAAATGAATGTTTTTGAATTAACTTGTTCTAAAATTAACAGAAAGCTGAAAGAATATTCTGATACATATTAGCAAGAATAATTTTAGTACTTCATTATGTTCTTAGCCAAGAATCAAGCCAAGCCATATCACTTACATTCTTGTTTCTATGAAAACATGTATTATGGATTAGCTCAGTATCCCCGCTAGAGTAGTTTTCCATTTAAAACACTTGATTAATTAAAAAACATTCTAGATTCACCATGAGAGAAGACTGCAATAACATCTAAAGAAAATTAGTCTGCTCTAAGAAGTTAAAAGAATATTATTCCAGTCATTCTAGACTACATAATCAAGTTTCAATCAAGAAACCTGTATGACGAAAACAAAAACAAGCTACAGACACTATTAAAATTAGGTCTCACTGCAGCGGACTGAGTGGAAGCTACACTGACACTCTCCTGGGACCAAACGGGAATTACAACTAAAATATAGCAAAAACATCCTGAATAATCAACTGAAACTGAAGATGAGCTGGAGAGCACCCTCATAACCAAGGAGGAAAAGTGGAGACCCCATAGAGACTGGTGGGAAGTGCTGAGGAGTGAGAAGGATGGCTGGGCTCCCACAGGCAGCAGCTGAAGGTCCAGAGGGACATCTCAGCTGTGGGGGGGGTCCCCACTGAGGATTCTGGGGCCTAAACCCCAGGCTGGGCTTCCCAGCCAAGAGCACTAAACCTAAGAAAGGTGCCCACATAACATCTGGCTGTGACAAGCAGCTGGGTTTCTGTCTGCCAGGGAGAGATGGCTGGAAACGCAGGCACCCTCTTAAAGGGCCAACACACAAAGTTTCATGTGTAGCCACTCACCTTGGGCTCCAGGAGAGAGAGGGCAGAGTGGACTGTAGCTGTGTGAGGAGAATCTAGAGTTGTGGGCTTTGGAGATAGAGCTCAGAGGGCACCCCTCTGGATTTCTGTGCCAAGTCACTCTGCCATACTGAAGAAGCAGACATTTACCTTCTAAGCAGCTTTTGCCTGCGGGGGAAGCAATTGCCCCACCCTGCTGGAAAGCCTCTAGCCCTACCCAGAGGAGTTTCTATAGCCTGAGGCTCATTAAGAGAATCAGATTAATCAGCCTGCAGGCAGAGGCAGACCTCAGAGTGCTTTGAGTCTTTGCATGATCTGCTTCTGGACCTGGGCCTAGGAAAAGCAGACTTTGGTGTGCATCTTGGTCCTGTCCAAATGCACCCAGCTCCAACAGGGGAGACCTCAAGTCCTGGGTTGTTGATAGCTCCAAACAGGGTACTAAAGGGCCAGTTAAAATAAGGTCCAGCCCCGCCAGCGGCTCAGTGGTTGGGCACTGACCTATGAACCTGAAGGTCCCAGTTTGGTTACCGGTGGGGGCTCCTGTTGGGCTGCAGGGTCGAACCCCAGTAGGGGGGCGTGTGGGAGGCAGCTGACTGATGACTCTCTCATCATTGATGGTTCTCTCTCTCCTCCTTCCTCTCTCTGAAATCAATAAAAATATATTTAAAAAAAAAAAAAAGGTTCAAAGACACCAGTACCGTCAAAGCCCACATGAAACAGAAACAAGAAAAAAATCAGATTACTTACAAAAAATTTAACTACTTGAATCAATAAGTGACGTATACCAAACTGTAATTTAGAAGAAAATGTATAGTTTTATATTATTTTATCATTACATAAGATTATAAATTAATAAAAGGTCCTAAGAAAAAAGCTAAAAAAGAAAAAAGAAACCTAAGAAGTACATGGACAATTTTTTTTCCTACTTTGACAATGGATTGGAAAATTGAGAATTTTTATAGATGGATTCAAATAAGCAGCACTGATACAACTATCTAGAATTTTAAAAACCTACCATTTAAAATCCCATTTAAAATACTTTGTATTTTACAAGAAAAACCCTACATGAAATAAACATTTAAATGTTTAAAAGAAAAAACCCCCGGCAAAACCCAGACGTACAAAATACTCATACAAAAGCATTAGAAAAAAATACAAGTGGATAGGGTTGGAAAGGCCATTGTAAGCATGATAAGAGTCCGAAACCATTTTAAAACATTAAGAGATGATTTTACTACATAAAAAATTGATGCCCTTAACAACTAAAACAAAATTATATATCATCAGGAAAAAAAGGAAAAACTACTGAAAACATATCACAAATGTATTTTATGTCATCAAGAAAAAGGTAAAACACCCCAAAAGAAAATAGGACAAAGAATAAGAAATGGATCACTAAAGAAAATAAAAATGTCAATAAATTTTTAACTCTGACCTAACTAGAAATAATAGAGATTAATACAAGGTATCACCTTTTACTTTTCTAGGGCAAAGATTAAAATAATTAGTGAAGATATAGGCACAGTAAAAAAACAGTAGTTAAGAGCACATAACCTTTTCGGTGCACAATTTGTAAATATAAATCAAAAGCCTTAACATATGTGTACATCTGACCTATCAATTCTACTTCTAGAATTCAAGAAAACTGTCAAAGAAATGTAAAAAGACATATGTACAAGGATATTTACTGAAGCTTCAACATTAGTGGGAAACTAGGGAAAAAAATAAAATGTATACTGATAGGGACTGGGTAATTAAGTAGTTGACCAGTCATTCCGAAAAACCAGGAAGGATAGGGAAGTGAATGTACTGACTAATTGGCCATGACATGTTGATAAGTTTCAAACAACTCATAAAACAGCATGCCTAGTTTGATATTTTTTGTGTATACAAATATGTATACACTCAATATGTATATACTTATACAGAGAATATATATCCATCTATCCATAATACATGGGGTTTCATTAGCCTTCCTGATACAATGAAGGACTTAGGTGACATTCTAAGGATGGCAGAGGAAGAATATAAGGTGCCAAGTCATGGATAGCACTGTGGAGCCCTGGACCTGCTGTGAAATTGCTTGTTATACAAAATAATATAACTTCCATGCAAATTGAGTCAGTTGAAATAAAAAGTTTTATAACTTGTAGTCGAAGCATTATTTGAAATAGTATGCTGGCCTAAATTTAAAATATATTTTAGCTTAATTACTTACCTTAAATGGGTATCTGCCAATTTCAGCCTCCAGTTCTTCTGGGGTAAAAATCTTGCCTATGAATCTTTTGGCATCATATATTGTGTTCTGAGGATTTGAATCTGCCAGCTCTAAGCTTTCATACCCCACATAAACATCATGGTCAGTAAAAGATACCATGCTGGGTATGCTGATATGCCCATTTTCATCTGGAATGACCTTTACTTTTCCTGTGCCAGGAAAAAACACCCCAACAGAGCAGTAGGTGGTGCCAAGGTCAATGCCAATCACTTTAGGAGTAGGCAATGGTAAGTACTGTTGTGATAAGTAGCCAGCCAACAGGAGAGTCAAAACAGCTGATCCTGAAATACAGGCAAATTAAAAGATAAGTCTTATCAAACTAGTACAATATGATAAATTACTATAGTAAAGTCCCTTTAATACCACTCTTTGAAACAAGACTAAAAATATACTCTCAAAATAATGCTTCTCTCAAACATCAAATTTTTCACAATGTAAACTGACAGATGCACTTTAAATGAGGTTACAAGAAAAACAAAAAAACCTGTTTGTGTACTTCACTATGGGTGAATAAAGGAATAAAAAGTAAAGATATTTTGATAACGATTGTCTGATGTTGACAGGAAAACCCATTCATCTGGAGCAAAAGTTAGATATAATCCAATTTCTTGATCAACTGATACTTAGATTTACAGCTTTATATTTAGCTTTAGTCATCATTATTAAAAAGAAACTCCAGTATTAAAATTCCCACAGCAAAAACTCTATTATACGGCCAAAATTATTTCCCCTTATCTCCATTTTTCTTTTAACAGGGTGAATTGGATAAATTGGATAAAATGATTTTGAGAGCTGCTTAGGTATTAAACTGTCACTTCATAACAGAACACAGTTAACCTTTTCTGTATTTAAATGTCAACTAAGGACATGCTTCTTGCAGAAGCAATACTTAGAGAAGCGTGAACGTGTGTCCTGTAGCTCTGAGGACGCCACACAGGGAAGCTCCTTGCAGGCAGGCTGTGCACACTGCTGTGTCCCTACACCAAGGATGCTTCCTACCACCCAGCAGACGTCCAGCAATTATTAACTGATGAGGAAAACAAATAGGAGCAAATGCCACGCAGGCTGTGAAGAGAAGTGATGACGAAAGGTGTCACTTCGGATATTACAATTAATTTCTTGTTTGGTTTCAGGAGGTTGCGTTAACCGCCTGCGTCACCCACGTTCCAGAAGACCTAAAACGTCAACATGTGGGAGTCTGATTTACTAATTGTTAGCTCATCCTCATGAACACATAAATCAATGAAGTACAATCAAGTGCAAGCGCCAAGCCCACTTGGCTCTCGCTGCCACGCGCAACATGTCAGAAGCACTTCATCGCCTTTTGTCCGGGGAGGGGCTTCCTAGCCCGTAGGAAGGAGCACCGGGCTGAGGCCCGGACCCTCGGAACCCAGCAGCCTCGAGCCCGCAGCTCGGGGCGCCGCGGGGCTCCTCCCCCTTCCTCCACAAAGGGGTGTTTCAGATGCACGTTCTTGCGGCCTCTCAAAGGCCCCTATCCAACCTACGATTCGAAATCGACGTTGCTTCGGGAAGAACTGCTCCCGAGGCCCGCACCCTGCGATGTCCGCGGCAGGCTGCCGCCCGCCCTACGCGGTGGGCCTGCTCCGGCCGGGGCCACCCCGGAGGCGGCTCCACAGCGTCTCCCCGGACAGAGCAGAACCGCCTCTAAATCACTTTTCTCGCGCCCTTCCTGCTGCACCAGCTGGACCTAGAAGGTGTGACAACCACCCCCGCCCATGCCGGCCTCCCCCAGGCGCTCCCGCGCCCACACCGGAGCCAGGGACCCCCGCGGTCACTGACCTAAGATCGTCATCTCTCCGGCCATCACAATCCCGCCGAAGAGGTTTGGGATGACTGTACCAGACGAGAGGCCCCGCCCCCACGCCGCCCGGCGGCCCCGCGGCCCCCTGGGAAATGTAGTCCGCTGGCTCTGCCGCCGCCGGAGAAGCTACATGTCCTACCCGAGAAAGGACTTTCTTTACCGTGAGGTCTCGAGGCGGAGCGCCTCCATTCAACCGCTGCCAGGGGCGACGGGGCCGCCCTCCCACGCACGGCCGGCCGAGCCAATTAGGCTGAGGTGGAGGGGTGTCAAGAATTAGGGCTAGATTTCCCCATCAAACCGGAAGCGCCTCGAGCCAACAGGAGGTAAACACCGTCTCCCCAGCGCCGCGCCGCCGCACTGCTTCCTGGGAAGTGTAGTTTCGGCCTGCCCCGTTCCCCCGGGGAGCGAGCGCCGCCGGCGTGCCCTGCGGGACTCCGGCCTTCGCGCGTTCGTTCAGCCCGCCATTTAAGGCGCGCTTCCGTGCCTGCGAGCTGGATTCTAGACGGGGGTTTCACTACCGCAGCCCCAGCCTCCGCAGAGGCTCCCCGCCGCGGTCGGGCGCCCCCGAAGCTCCCATGAAGATCCCCAGCCCCCCCTTTGTTTTTGTCTCGGGATAAAGCAATTCAAGCAGCTTTCAGCTAAAGCGATTTATCCACAGAGCAGGGGCACCTTTCCCCTGTTGCTAACGCTGAAGTGGGCCCTTAAAAATAAAAACAGAAACGAAACACCTTCGCTTTCCCTTGAACGGAGCCCTCGGCGGCCGCAGCCGCGGCGAAGCGCGTGGCGGGTCCAGCCCGCAGCCCGCGTGTCCCC